GCGGCCTGCCAGATCTGAAATCGAGCAGTGTTTTGTTATTGGACTTCTGTGCAAACCACAGTAACAAAAACCTTGTTCAAACATAAGGGTGTCCATAAGTGCTCATGGCACCAGGACACCCTAGGCCACAGTTCATAAGATCAGTTTTGTAATTGTATCATCAGATCTGCAGAAGTATGTTCTGGACACTCGGGTGAAGCAAGGTGCTGAGCTGTCAACTGATCAACACCTTGTAGTAAGTTGTATCAGGTGGCGGGAGAGGATGTTCGACAGACCTGGGGCACCTAAATGGATAGTGTGGGTGTGCTGGGAACGCCTGGCAGAGGCCCCCACCTGTGGGATTGTCAACATGAGACTGCGGACATTGAGTTCGAATGGACCCTGTTCAGCACCTCATTGCTGACGCTGCTGCACTGAGCTGCGGCCGCAAGGTGGTTGGTGCCTGTCGTGGTGGTAACCCCCGAACCAGATGGTGGAGACCGGAGGTGAAGGAAACCATCAGGCTGAAGAAGTCCTATTGGGCTTGGTTAGCCTGTGGGACTTCAGAGGCAGCCTATAGGTACAGACAGGTCAAGTGGAACGTGGCTCAGGCATTAATTGAAGCAAAAATTCAGTTGTGGGAGGAGTTCGGAGAGGACATGGAGGAAGACTTTCTTCTTCAAAGACCTCCTTAATCCCACTAGGACATCTTCTGTAGAGGAAGCAGAGTCTGGGGACGAGGGGGATGACTCATCCATCACTGGTGTAAGGTCACTGAAGTTAAACAACTCCTTGTTGCTGTAGCTCAGGTGGTTGAGCAGGTCACTTTCTAATCGGAAGGTTTGTAGTTAAATCCCCTTCTACTCTCATCTGCATGTCAAATATCCTTAGGCAAGATACTTAACCCCAAGTTGCTCTCCAGTGCATCCATCGGAGTATGAGTACGAGTGAATGTTATACGGAAAGCTCTTGGAGCATAGAAAAAATAGCTTGTACGAATGGGTGTGAATGGGCGAATGAGGCAAGTTGTGTAAAACACTTTGAGTGCTCAGAGTAGAAAAGCGCTATATAAGAACTAGTCCATTTACCATTCCTTGGTGGCAGGGCCCCTCGGGTGTTGTAGGGCTGTCAGGGGCGGTACCTCTGGATTGGCAGACCAGCTGGTGGTTCCCATCATCATGAAGGGGGACCAGAGGGTCTGTTCCAACTATAGGGGGATCACAATCTTCAGCCTCCCCAGCAAAGTCTATGCCAGGGTGCTGAAAAAGAGAGTCTATCCGTTAGTCGAATACAGGAGGAACAATACAGTTTTCGTCCTGGTTGCAGAACACTAGACCAGTTCTTTACCCTTTCAAGGATACTTGAGGGTTAATGGGAGTTTGCCCAACCAGTCTACATGCCTTTTGTGGACTTAGAGAAGACATTCGACCATGTCCCTTGGAGTATTCTGTGGGAAGTCTTTCGGAAGTATGGGGTGTCTGGCCATTCGATCTTTATACAACTGTTGCAAGAGCAGTGGGAGTGGCCGTTATTTAATCCTCACTGGATCATTGTCTTGAATAAGTTAGTGCAACTCACCTCCAATCCTTGAGTTAATATTTCAGCTTGCCTGTGAGAGAGATGCCAGTCTGTATTTTCACTGTGCTCAGGTTTGCTTGGAGAATCCCCTATGGTGAACAGTCTTTGTGTGGGTTTGAGAGAGAGTCTGGAAACAGTTGGAAAGTGGGGAGAGCTATAGTGGAGTGAACTGTTCTGATAATCCATCATGTTGAACCAGCAGCGAGACCCTGAATTTCAATAGGTAAAAAAGGCAACGGTGAGCAGTGCTGCAGGCTCCATCTTTGTCTGTTCACATTTAAATGATGTACATCTAAGCATGAACAGACGTGTATATTCTACATGACTGTGGCTTTCACTTTGTAGTCTCTTTGTGCTGGATTTTATTTGGATTACATTTGTGCTTTTGTGTTCATACCTAAATACTGAGAGAAAAATTGTGTGTCTGCATAATATGTTTGAAATGCAAAAGTAATGTGAAGAGTAGTATAACAAATTACATTCTTATGGGAGTAATAAAATAATTAAGTGCAGTACTTCTTAAAAGTAATGCATGACTTCCAAGAAAAGTGTTTTGTGTAATATGTGTAACACATTACTTTTCTGAGTAATGACCAATGAACAGGGGAAATCCCTCCAACATACACAAATCTGTGATCCCACAGCATGCAGTTAGTTTGCATGAATGTAATTTCTTTGATATGCTGCTTAAAGATTGTGGTTACTTTCAAAGTGAGCCAGTGAGAACCCAATGAGAATCGCTATTGAAATCAGAATCGCTAAATTGGCATTAATTCCCATCCCTAGCTGTCAGTTTATGTTAAATAGGAAAAAAAATAGCACTCATGCTAGACTGATTATAGAAAAAGTTGCAGTGATCCCTGAGAGGTGGGTTTTCTGATACATGGGAACATGTTGTTCCAAGATATTTAAAAAATATTTTCTTTTTTCTTTTTTTTTTCACTGACAAGCAGCAGGTGATGGACGAAGGGTTGCTGGTGTCTTCTTTAGCCCATGTGGAAATTCCAGAAGTGGACCAGCTGCTGAAAGAGATGTCCCTTTGTCTACTGGACCTCCAGGGTCTCTGCAGCATCTTGGCTCAGAGAGCGCAGGGGAAAGAGCCCAACCTGTCTTTGCTTCTAGGAATGACATGTATGTAGGCATACATTTTATACTTATTTATACTTATTCTTTATGTATCACTTGTAACCTACTGTAGTTAGAGGGCGAACACAAATACAGACATTTATGATTTTTTTGATACAAATAAGATTAGTAGCATTTGTAAAAAAAAAAAAAAAAAATTATTTTATTTTAGTCACCTAGTAATCAGTTAGCAGTTTTCTTTGTGCGCATGTAAAATTCCTGGAATAGGGCTCTCAAACTCATTTTCGGAGCTGTTGATTTAATTTTAAATCCCATTCCAAGATTTCAGTTGTCAGCTGTCTGGAGCCAACAACAACGACAATAGCTGCTGATTATAAGCTAATACCCACTAATGTCCTAAAAATCACAAGAGTTTATTCAATAACTGTCAGAGTTCAATAATGTCAGCTCAAATTCAAAGAAAGCTTTGGTAATGCCGACAAGGAAGAGCTAACAACTACAAAAACAGTGCTTAGCGATACTGAGGTGATACTGTTGGTGTCATCTGACAGAAGTGAGTTTCACTGACTCATGGATCTGAATCAGACTCAAAATTTTACAGCCTCTTCCAGAGTAAAATACGTGTGGATGGTTCTTACTTAACGTATTGACAGCTGAGGTAAAGTGAGGTTGTTAAAGCGTATCACTTTAATGTTTACTAACTTAAAATAAATAAATGGTAATAAACAGCTGCAAAAACAATTTTATAATTATCTGATTAATTACACAGGTTTGCAACCAAAAATCTGCTTAGGGTTTTTTGACTGTTTCTTGTAGATTTTTACTCACTGAAACCAAGAAAAATGTTTTTAAAATTCTATCACGTCAGGTTTTCTTGCAAAACTCATGTTTTTAAGTTTAATTAAGCATACAATTTCCCTTTTTAAACTGAAATCTGGTATCCTATATTTGAGTTAAAAAAAACAAACATATCCACTAATGATTTCTTACATGAATTTAATATATATTCTAAGAGCGAAAGTGTGTTCAGAGAGGCATCAATGTTTTTTGCAAAACATGAGGAGATGGAAATCATTTTTTGATTCAACACCCTAAAAACATAAAATTTACCAAAAGTATCCCATGCTACGGAAGTACGGAAGAGGATTAAGAAGATAGTGAGTATGTCTTTTTTTTTTCTTCTTTTCCAGAATTCTTTTAAAAAAGTCAGAATTCTGACTTTTTTCTCAGAAATTTTTTTTTCTCATGATTCTCAGAATTCTGGAAACGAAGAAAAAAAAGTGGCCTTAATCCTCTTCCGTACTACGCAGCTGATTTTCTTTCTGTTTTTCTTTTTTCTGGAGACCTGTGTTATCAGAAACCTTTGAACTTCAACAACATATCTCAGGGCATTGAAATATCTTTTTTTTCTATCAAACACAAAATCATTATTTATAACTTGGATGAACAAAACTAGCTGTGACCCAACTTTTTTTTTCTTAGTGTTCCCCACACACAGATTTTAAGATTTACATATATAAACAGATGCTAGCCCCAGACTACAACATCATCCTTCTGAACTTTTTAGGTTATTTATGAAAGATTGTCTTCCTCACATCTGACCTACCCCACAAAAAGATTATAAATCTGTGGAAACCACTCAGAGCTGTGTTTGACTCATCATGAAATCAAACTTCTTCACCTTCTGTTTGCACAAGTGGTTTTCTTGCAGTAGACGTAAATCCACATATGATGTCCCTATGTTTAATATTTTGTGCCTGATTTCCAAACCCACAGATATTCCAGCTAACAAATGTATTTGTTAACATGACTAATAGGAAAGTTAGAAATGATTATGCATAAAAGTGGATAGTCATTTCTAACTTTCCTTTCCCCCGATAGAGAAGAAATGTAACAATAAACATGTTTAAACATATAAAATAAGATAAATTATCACTTGCTGGACCATCAGCTGTCTGTTGATGCCACTGGATGGGACCTCACTGTGGCAAACTTCAGAGCAATACACCAGTAAGGACCACAGGTAGCTTTCAGTTGAATTCATTTCAATTCAGTTTTATTTATAAAGCACCAAATCACAACAACAGTCGCCTCAAGGTGCTTTATATTGTAAGGTAGACCTTACAATAATACTAAAAGAGGAAAACCCAACAATGATATGATTCTTATATGTCTGCATGCAGCAGGGACCTACCAAGCACAATAACTCGCACTGGTAATATGTTAGTAGGAGTCACAGCCAACTCACATGAAGAAAGCACCAATCGTGTAACTCATGGCTCTGTGAGCAACACGCAAGGCTGTCTGCATTGGCTGGAGAGAACTCACTCGCCATCCTCTTCCATTAGGCGCCATAGGAAGGTTGCATCAAGCATGTGACCTCATGAACCGCGAGCAAGCATCGCGCCCAACTTACAGCTGAGTTTTCTTTTTTTTGTTTTACAAAGCACTGAGTGTTTAACCCGTGACATCGTGAGCAACACATTGTTCTAAACTCACTCGCCAGGCAGCCAGTGCATCACAAATTTTGGGCCATTCACTCTAGCTATCGGTCAGCACAGCCTGGGCGGAGTCCTATTTAAAAGGGCCTTGACACAGCAAGGTCCCACCCAGCACGTAAACCATGAGCAATACACAGGCAAGGGGTCACAGCCAGAAAGTCAACATATGCTTCCCATTAAACAGGCAGGTGGACTAAATACTGTAAACCAACTCAGTCGTAATACTGATGCAGACTCCCAACACTCTGCACAGCTGTGGGCGTGACCAGTCAAGCATAAGTGTCTTAAAGAAGTTTCCATGTGCCCTGATGCCCTAATCATGGAGTCATACCCCGAGTGTAGCGACAGTCTCAATGCGATAGAGCACAGTTGCACTGCATGAGAGACATGTGTATGGTGCCTTCTGCCCTAATCATTTTCTTTTCAAGGCACTGCTTCACATTTCTTCATGCAGTCATAATCTGGCTCACTAAATATTGTCCTTGACTTTTTCATAACATTTTCTCCTTTGTTTTCCCTGTTCAGCGCTGACCTTTTCAGCAGAGGACAGTGACTGCAAAGTGGTGGCAGTGGAAGACAAGTTAAGGTTAAAGCTACTGGAAGTTGGCCAGCTGAGGAAAGACATCGATGCGCTGAGGAAAAGCATCTCAGACTGCTACGATCAGTTTATGGGTGACTGCATTTCTCAGTGACTTCTTTTCACATTCTGTACTTCGCAGAGAAAGAATGCAAAATGATACTTGTATGATTGCTGTGTAGTAACTGACATCTCCCTTTGGAGCTGAGTGGACAGCACGCTCACATATATATGGGACAACCCCAAACTTCCTGTCAAAAAGTATCCAGGTGGAGCATGTTAATGAACAAGGACAATGTTTGTTAATGTTTTCCTAAACTGTTTAATAAGCTTTTAAAAAATCAGTTTTGAGGATCCGCTAATTTGGAAAAACAGCTGCTTGGAAAGACACTGGGATCCCAAAGGCCCATCTGTATAGTTTCTCCAGCAGTCAGCTAATCGTGTTGCTGCTGCTGGATGCAACTTGTATTTTAATACATGGCAGGAGCTCTCTGATGTCAGGTCAATAAAGAGAGATCGTACGAAGGAACTGAATGTAATTGAGTTATTATAAACATGTGTTAAAGAGAGTATATACAAATATAAAGCAAGCTGCACACTGAGATAAAGTAAGGGGACAATATTTAAGTAAGTATATAACAGTAATTCTTGTATTGCACTTAAAGTATGAAAAGAATATTATTGTCCCCCTGAAAGCACTGAGTAGGTGATCGGTTCCATTTGTTTGTCTGTTTGTTAGCAGTCTAGCATCTGATGATAGACACCAACAGCTCGAGCTGATTGAAAGCAAGAACAAAAAGGTGACATCAAATGTCCAAATCAGTAAAACTTTATGTCACTCACAATTTTTAAAGATTGTTTTCAAACTTCACAACAACATACGAGGCCTTTGGGGACATGAGTACCTAAGCTGGCTAAGCATTTGACCTTGATCTTCATTTACGGTCAAAGTTGACCCTAAAGAAACAAATGAGACCGTATGAGCAGTATATGATATATATGAGGAGAGAACTGTACAACACACCTCTTTTTTTTTTTTCAGTACAATGGCTTACAACATCACAACGATTCCATAATAGGTCTACATCATTATAATGTAATAAAAACATCATGAAACAGATTTAGTACGTGCTCTCTGAGTGATCTTGTTGAAATATATACTGCACTTGTGAATAAGGCAGATTATGGCAGGAAAGATGCAAATGTGCAAGCTTGTTGTGTGTGTATGTGTGTGATTAAACTGTCTGTTGATTGTTTCGATGTGCGGTCTTTATGAATCTCCATTTTCACAGCAGACAGTGACACCCATGTGAGGATCTTCACTAGCACGGCCCTAGAAAATAGAAAAGTCACTTAGTGTCTCTTTGTTGGTTTTTTAATGAAAATATTAATCTATCACCATGGCTTCACAAAGAACTTACAAACATGTTTGTTTCCTAGCATTAGCTTTCTTCTGTGTACATGAAGCCTGTTTCACTCCTAATCTCTGATCTGTGAGTTTCACCCTGTGCCAACGGAGCCAATGCGGGTAAGTGGACTCGCCCAGACTGGCTGCTTTGGTGTTCAGGGCCTTGCCTGCCCTGATACGAAAAAACCTGAGAAGCCTTGCAGGTGAAATTGTATCAGTCACACCTGTTACATCTGCAGCACTTGTTATCTGGGATGTTTTTAGAGGCCTGGAGCCTGGGCCCCAAGGCTTACTTTAAAAGGCTAGAGTAACATGTACGAGCTGTTTGCATTAGAACGAATAAAAAGTGAAAAGTTTATTAAGGCAATTTAGCAGGAGCAAAGAGTAATAATCCCAAACAAAGTAATCGCATCACAACTGGGTCAGAAGATGCACTTATCCTTGTGTAAAAACCAGCTGGAAGTATGATCTAAATCAATATCTTTCTGAACGAACCATCCAACACTGCAAAAAAAAAGCAGATGAAAAGCCAAAAACTACAAAATCTCCACTGTATTTTCCACTGCGAACGTCTTAGATCCTGTCGTCTGAACTGTTGATCTCGCAGGGGGGTGCGTAGATATGGGGGATAGAAACAACTAGAAAAGCACAATGTATCACCACTTGCTGCGCCTGTAGGAGACAAAACAACTAAAGACAACAGACACAGCACCCACAACACAAAACTTTATACACAAATACGTGTGTGTGTGAGAGAGAGAGGTAGAGAGAGAGAGTGTGCCTGTGTCTTTGTCACAAATGTCATTCATAATGAGGGAAGCTTGAGGACACACATCCCAACAGGGAGACTGGACGTTACATCTTCTCAAATATTAGCCGCCTGATCATTTTTAATCACATAAATGGTAAATGGCCTGTATTTGTATAGCGCTTT